TGTTAACTCACTTTTCTCCCAGCCCCTCAAATAAAGATTCCCGTGGCTTAGTAAGCTTGCGAATGATGTGTATAGAAGAACTGAAACTGAGAGTCAAAGTGAGGCCAATGGCTGCCGTGCGCAGGGCAGTAAGCCTTAGGTTGGTGAGCGAGCCTTTAGAATTCAACATAAAATAAAACACGGCTACTATGTCACTTTCAATATAAGCACAGATCATACATACACTGATGTAGAAAACATACCTTGTGACAAATTTGTGTTTGTCTAGGATGATGATAAAAAGTAGATTACAGATTGTGCAAGCCATGTTGTGTGTTGCAAAATAGGGGAAGAAATTGGAAAAATATGGCACAACTACCGCCAAAATGAACAAATACATGTTTGATGCAAACCAATCACTTCGAATCACTTTTGAAAAGTTGGTTGGGACGGTCCACGTGGTTTTACATGCAAACCTACTGTAGAGAAAAAAACAAAATACTTGAAGAGGTGACCACCACAAAGGAAGAAAGGTGTCAAAGAATAATGATAACCAAACTATCACATAAGAATGAAAAGAATGATGAGGTGCGATAATGTAATGCCAAAAAGTCCTTTGCTGAATTTCGTTTGATCGAATCGAAAAAAAGACCACCCTCCACCTGATATACCTGCCGGGAGAGCTACTATAACGAGAATAACATACCCGCTACCAACAGGTAGCTTGCCGAACAGCTTTCTAAGTCTTCTAAGGTAATTTAAGACTCGTCTTATAGCTCTTGGTCTCTCATGACTGTGACAAAACAAGAGGAAACGCTGCATACGTATATGTGTAGTTCGAGTGTAAATCTTCGTTTCCAGTGCGGTTGCGGTCACTTAATTTTAATTAACAGGCAGCGTGATCATCAGGTGATGACATTCAATCTTTGTTGCTTCGTAAACTCGGGATCGAGGTTGACTCGTGCTAGTCACGAGACTTGACTTCTTACAGAGAATTTTCGAGTTTCTCAGTCGGTTATGTTTTCACCGGTTGTTAGCCTTCCGGCTGATCCGCACAACCGATTTGTCTGGCAAACTTCAAATGGAACACTTTTTCCCCGGAGGGAAATTCTGAACCGATTTCGAAATTTCCGTTTTTCAGCAGAATTTGAATATCATTCCACAAGCTGCTACAGTTTCAAAGAACTTTTGCAAAAAGCATTTTGCGTGCAAAAACTTATTATGATATTTTGCATGATTATGTTTAGTTTGAAAGCTGACCTTGTGTAAACATGAATCCACCGATCCAGCCGAGAAGCTCAACATGTATCCATTTTTGTGTTTCCTCCGGATTGGCCTCTAAACTATACATATATTCATTGAAAACGCTTTACCTCTATTCAAAAACGCTCCCCAGAGTAGCGATTTTTTTAAACGCCGTGTAGACGTGATCGTGTAAACTGTTGAAAACAGAGCTTTTTTTCTGCTGTTTGAAAATTACGATTTCGTCACGGTGTAGTTACCAAGACTGAATCGATTAAAGTGGCAGACAGACAACGCTTTTGTTTCATTCCGTGCAAGCGTGTTTTTAATTACGTCTCAGTTTCTGAATGAGGAAGCTGATCACGAGAGACGGAACATAATCCAACTACAGTACTTTCATTTTCTGTCACGGAAACAGCAGGTATTAATCTGAAAGATTTTGAACTGGACGGGGACGTGTTAGTGCTTGGTGGATCAACGCTGTCGATAAATAATCATCCTAGAAAAATGGAAGATGAAGTTTAGGACGAGTTGAAGAACTTCAAACTGGGGTGATAGAGTTAACGTGTGAAACCTTAAGTGTCTCGTTTTATTAAGATAAGTGCTTGGATTTATCTCAGTCCCGGTCATGAGAAATAAATAAGAAAATCAGGCGTTTTTTTTAATGGAATATAGGGATGCCAGGTTGATAAACAATAGCCTCCGTGAGCTACTCAGCTTGCTGCATTTATCGGACATGACTGTAACAACGCAAGATGAACAGGCGAATATGTATATGTGTAGCTCGAGTGTAAATCGACGTTTCTAGTGCAGGCGCTATTTATAGTCTCCATATTTTGATTAACAGACAGCGTGATCATTAATCTTTGTTCCTCAGTGGCCGGACTTGAGATCGAGGTTGACTCGTGTTAGTCACGAGACTAGACTTCTGAGAAAGTAATTACGTTTTGCCGTCGGACCGTTCCGAAAGAAAAGCCCAGTTGTTTAGTGTTATGCTTGCACCGGTTCCAAGCCCTTCGGCTTATCCGCACCTTCACTGGCTGGTTCTTCCGCGAAACAAATGGAACAGTTTCTCTCCGGAGGAAAATTGTGAACCGACTCAAAATTTCCGTTTTCCAGTCGGTCAACTCATCACATCTGCGATTGTTTCAAAGAAATTTTGTGAAAAGCATTTTGAGCGCAAAACCTTATTATGATATTTTGCCTGTTTATTCTTCGTTTGAAAGGTGACCTTGTGAAAACATGATCCCACCGTTCCAGTAAGGAGCTAAACACATGTATCTGTTTTTGTTATTCCTCCTGACTTACCTCTAGGCCACATATATCCATTGAAAACGGTACGCACCTTTTAAAACAACGCTCCCCAGATTGGAGATTTTTTTTCAACGTCGTTTAGTCAGTGATCGTGTAAACTGTTTAGCACAGAGCTTTTTCTGCTGTTTGAAAATCTCGATTACGTCCGGCGGGGTAAGATCCAAGACTGAATCAGTTAACTTGCCAGAGAGACACATTACTTTTGTTTCACTCCGTCCAGACCGGTAACATTATCAAGCTACTTTCATTTCCTGTCTCGCAAATAGCAGGCGTTAATCTGGAAGATTTTGAACTGGACGAGGACGTGTTAGTGCTTGGTGGATCAACGCTGATCATCCCAGAAAAATGGAGGGAGATGTTTAGGACGAGTCGAAGACATAGTCTAGTGAAATGTCAGCTTCCGCGGTAGCAATTTGTCACTTAATTCATGATACTTGTTTCACTTTGACTTTTTTTGCTTACATAGCCTAGGTACTATTGAGAAGGTGCCGACAGAGGTACCGAAACGGTACCTAAAGGCTCAAATACGTGGCCGCTGAACAAAACATTCTGTCACGTCGTGGAACTTTTCATAAAACACGCTTGCCCCTTTAAAATTTCCTGATCTAAATACCATTTCCCTGTATCAAATTTACACATTCGTGCAACATTTTATTAACCAAGGATTATCGAACCTCCAATCATTTTCAAACAATTGCTACATGTATATAGTAACAGCTTTTAACTGGTGACATATTATTCGGCAAAAAAATAAGAACCTGCATACAATATTTGTAATTGTCAGTGTGACCTGTCTTGTATCACAAAGAATAAACTATTGCATAATCTCAAGAACATTGGATATTTACGTTTTTAAACAGCAATTATGCGATACTTTGACTCCGCTTAATTTCAATTTAGTCCAATTACAGTGTATTTATTCGTCATAAACTACAAGCGAAATACGTTAAACAACAAAATGTTATGTTCACTGTTTT